TCATGTGTGTGTGTATCTGTACATGTGTGTGTGTATCTGTACATGTGTGTGTGTATCTGTACATGTGTGTGTGTATCTGTACATGTGTGTGTGTATCTGTACATGTGTGTGTATCTGTACATGTGTGTGTGTATCTGTACATGTGTGTGTGTATCTGTACATGTGTGTGTGTATCTGTACATGTGTGTGTGTATCTGTACATGTGTGTGTGTATCTGTACATGTGTGTGTATCTGTACATGTGTGTGTATCTGTACATGTGTGTGTGTATCTGTACATGTGTGTGTGTATCTGTACATGTGTGTGTGTATCTGTACATGTGCGTGTGTATCTGTACATGTGCGTGTGTATCTGTACATGTGTGTGTGTATCTGTACATGTGTGTGTGTATCTGTACATGTGTGTGTATCTGTACATGTGTGTGTATCTGTACATGTGTGTGTGTATCTGTACATGTGTGTGTGTATCTGTACATGTGTGTGTGTGTCTACAGTTGTAGTTACCGTCAGACAACACGTCGGCCCCCATGGTGATTTCACTGCTGCAACCCAAGTTCCCCTGTTCACGTACCGGCCAGTTGAGCGCAGTCCTGGTGCAGCCGCAGAAGCGCCACCTGCACACCCTGCAGGTCCAGGTGCTGCTTGCAGGCGACTATGCACGCCTCCAGGAAGCGGGCCTGCACCGAGCGGGGAAGGAGGACGGCGCTGTATGTGTACATGTGTGTGTGTGCCCAGCAGCAGGACAGCAGCAGCAGCAGCAGGAGGAGGAGGAGCGATATGTGGGGGAGATTGGAGGGGGGGAGAGAAAATAGCAAAGGGGGAAACCCCGGTGTGTGTGTGTGTGTGCCTGTGAAGAAGGGGAGAAGGAAGCGTTAGAGAGGGAGTTACGTGTCTCGTAAGAATGTGGCACGAGCGGGCGTTTGCACCCCACCCACTCAGCCCCCCTCTCGCAACGTCATCCCTCTCCCTCGCCCCCGTCCAGACAGCAACACAAGCAAAACCCCCACGTCATCCCTCTCCACACACCCCCACACCCCCGCGCACCTCCGGCGAGCCCCATGCGGGGCTGTTCGCCAGCCAAGCCGGCCGGCCCTCCCCTTCACGACCGGCCCCCCCTCCCCCTCCTGCCGCTCCTGAAGGCACGTCCTCCTCCATTCCACCCGACCGGGAGGTAGCCCGGGCCAGCAGGTGCGTCTCAGCAGCTGATACCAGGGCCTTGGCCTGCAGGGGGAAGAGGGGCAGGGGGAAGAGGGGCAGGGGGAAGAGGGGCAGGTGGGAGAGGGGCAGGTAAATAACTGGTCGCGGGAAGAAGGAATGGGGACATCTGCAGCAAGTCACGGAAGCAGCAGCTGTCGTAAGGGTGTGTGTGGGAGAGTTGATGCGTACATGGGCACATACACACATACGCGTATACACACACGTACATACATACACACATACACACACAGCGCCGCGCACCTGTCCCAGCACCTTGCTGCCGTACAGCACCTGCAGCGCCTCCACTGCCTCCCCGGGGGGGCACAGACATGCACACAGCGGGGGAGCGGGGGAGTGGTAGCGGCGGAGGAAGGTGGCGATGTGGGGGGGAGAG